TTCCAACCCAAACCATTCCACAATTCCATGATCTTTCCTAGAGGAAGGTGCCCCTGCCTATGTCAAGGTTGGAACTGGACCATCCCTGAGGTCCCTTCCAACCCAAACTGCTCCACAATTCCACAATTCTCTGACTCCCAGTTTCCCAAAGCAGCCTCCCCGTGACCAAACTCATCCTCGGCACCACTTCACACCATCCAAACTCTGCCGACACGGAAATTCCCGGTGCCACGAACCGAATTCCCTGCGAGGTCCCTGCAGGAGGAGGGAATGAAGGCTCCCGAGAAGGCTCCCGACAGCTCCAGGGCTGTGCCTCGGTGGATCCGCCTTCCCCGTGCCCCGGCCGTGGCTCCAGAGCCCGCCCTGGGCCGCCCGGGGACCCCGGGAGAGGCGGCATCGCCACGACACTCCTGCGGGAGGTCCCTGACACGTAATTAAACGCTGTGGTGAAACCCGACCGTAAACAAGCCATGAATAAAAACCCCTTGAATTATTTTGCTAAACTATAATTACACAATAAGGAAGCAGATTAATTAAGTAAAATACAAGTCCTGAAACCGAAGCTTGCAAGCAAAGCAGTTTATTTTAATTTCCACATTATTTCGCATGAGATACAAGTGTTTGCTGTGGGTTTGAAATGTTGGAAGCCATTCCTCGCTGCCAGGCAGGCCAAACCCAGCGGATAAATTAAATTTTTGCATCTCAGGCACCTCCTGAAATGTATATAAGGGGAAGGGCCGCGCCTCGGAGGAGCCACAGGAGATCTCCTCTGCCTCTCCCGCTCCTCCGCGCCGCCGCTCCCGCCGCCATGAGCCGACAGTGCTACACCTCGGGCTCCATCCTGGGCCGACGGGGCTTCTCCTCGGCCTCGGCCGTGTGCGGGCTGAGCCGCGGCAGCGCCGGCTCGGCCTCGGCGTGCCAGCCCGCGGGCCGGCGCTGCGGCCTGGGCGGCTTCAGCAGCCGCAGCGTCTGCGACCTGGGCCGGGGGCAGCGCATCTCCTTCGGGGGCAGCTGCCGCGGGGGGGTCCTGGGCGCCGGCCCCGCCGTCGGGCGCTGCGGCGTCGCCTTCGGCCCCCCGGGCCGCTTCGGCGTGGGCGCCGTCGTGGGCTTCGGCGGCTGCGGCGGCGGCTTCGGCGGCCTGGGCGGCTACCGCGGGCTGGGCGACGGCGTGGCCGTGGGCGGCTACGGCGCGGGGCTCGGCGTGGGCCTGGGCGTGGGCGCGGGACGCTCCGAGGGCATCCGCGGCGTCAGCATCCACCCCGAGCTGCTGAAGCCCCTGTGCGTGGGCGTGGACCCCGAGGAGTGCCAAGTGAGGACCCACGAGAAGGAGCAGATCAAGAACCTCAACAACCAGTTCGCCTGCTTCATCGACAAGGTGAGGGGCAGGGTTAGGCTTAGGCTTAGTCTTAGGCTTAGGGTTAACAGCTCCCTCTGTCCCCATGTCTCCACGCTCCGAGGGTTGCGGGGTCTCCCGGGGGCTCCTTCCAATGGGAAAGATCGTGGAATCGTGGAATGGGTTGGGTTGGGTTGGGAAGGATCTTAGACACGATCCAGTTCCACCTCTTGCCATGGGCAGGGACACTTTTCTCTAGGAAGGATTGTGGAATCATGGAATGGTTTCATTTGGAAGCATCTTAAGGATGATCCAGTTCCACTCCCTGCCGTGGGACACCTTCCGTTAGGAAAGATTATGGAGTTATGGAATGGTTTGGGTTGGAAAGGACTGCAAAGATGATCCAGTTCCAGCCCCTGCCATGGACAGGGGCCCCTTCCAGTAGGAAAGGTAATGGAATTATGGAATGGTTTGGGTTGGAAAGGACTGCAAAGATGATCCAGTTCCACCCCCTGCCACAGACAGGGACCCCTTCCAGTAGGAAAGCTCATGGAATCATGGAATGGTTGGGTTGGAAAGGACCTTAGAGACGATCCCAAGACGCCCCAGGAGATATTTCTCCCGGCAGCCTGACATCCAAACCCTTCTGATGGAGCAGGGTGGTCCTGATCTGGGGACACTTTGGATTTAAGCCTTACCCCAAGGCAACCCCACGGGTGCTGCACCTTTGGATGGTCACCAACCCGCCAAAGAGCTCCAGCAGGGGCAGCTCCAGGGATACAGTAAATCCAGAGCTGTGGGAGAGGGGATGGAGGCACAGGAATGTAAAGAGGCAAACCAGGAAGTTTTATTCCAAGTGTTTAACCTGATATTGTTCTCACAACTCTGTGAACCCCGAAGGACTTTTGCATTCTTAAAGTTGTGCTTCATCACTGAGATGGGGAAGGACAGACTTGGCTAAAATCAAAGAAATAATTTTCATTTCTCTGTCCCTCCGCTCTGGGAACGAAATGATTTGGTGATTTCCTAAAAATACATAATTTATCATTGTTTCCTTAGCTAAATTGAAGGGTTTTCGTTCCTGTTCACAGACCTGCTCTGGGAAATGATTTTTCAAAGGGCAAAGAAAATTTGCTGTGTCTGATCTGCTCCTGCTTTTCCTTGAGAGTTGTTCTGCAGCTGGAAAAACCGAACCAAGCCAGCTCCCAGCTGGAGAAATGACTTATTCATGACCCATCAAGGCTCTCAGAGAGCCTTTAATCTGGCAGTGAAAGGCATGATAAGCACCCGTGGTTAGAGCTGAAATCAGATACACCCAAATGAGATCCAGGATGGAGCTGTCGGTGCTCAGAGAGGCTCATTCCTGCCCTGGATGGGGCTGTGGATCCTCCGAGGGAAGGGGAGGTGTCTGGTTGAGCCCAGATCGGCCCCAGCACAGGGCACAGGCTTTGATGTTGCTCAGCCTGTGATACGAGTCCTGGGTGGGACCAGCTCGAGCTCCCAGGAGATGCTGGGCCCGCTCGACCATTTGCAATTCGGATTTTTGCCTTTTGCAAGTGGAGAAACCCCTTTTTTGCCCGGGCCAGGAGGGGGTTTCCTGACTCTCCCACCCTCTGCCGTCCCCAGGTGAGGCTGCTGGAGCAGCAGAACAAGGTGCTGACCACCAAGTGGGAGCTGCTGCAGCAGTATGTCCTGCCAGCCTCCCGCAGGAACCTGGAGCCCGTGTTCGAGAACTTCATCTGCAACCTGAGGAAGCAGCTGGAATGTGTGATGGGGGAGAGGGAGAGGCTGGAGAACGAGGAGCGCTGCCTCCGAGACCTGGTCCAGGAGTTCAAGTGCAAGTAAGTCCCGGCCGGAGGGAATCTGCGCTGCCGGGGGGAATCTGCGCTGCCGGGGGGTCGCTGCCCGGAGTGGGAATCCCAGGAGGCTGCACTGGATGTGTCCAAAACCTGGGACACGGGGCAGGGCTCGGCAGGACCGGGCTGGTTTCCTGTGCCGGGGTCCCACCGCTGCTGGAAGTGGACTGGGAGAGTTCTCCAGCCCCGGTTTCCTCAGGGACAGGGACAGGGAGCTGCTTCTCCTCTCCCTCCTGCACTTGCCCATCAAATCTCCCCCGTATCTGTGCCTGGGGCTCCCCCAGATCTCCCGTCCCACAACACCCTCAGCCTCTTTATCTCCACCCCACTCTTCACCCACATCTGTTGGGGTTCATTCTCCCTTCCCAGAGGGAATGTGGGAGTGGGTTTGTCGGTCTGAGCCGCAGCCACCCCTGGATATCTCCCCGTGTGCTCTGCTGAGCCGCAGACCAGGACACCGGACACCCCTTTCTCCAGGGATTTTCCAGCCCGGCACCTCGGGGGCTTTTCTTGCTGAGCCACCCCCACCAAGGTCCAGCTCACAGCAGCGTCCTCTTGGGAAAGCTCTTGCAGTTCCTGACTCATCCCTGCCTGACTTTGCTCCCCGCTGCCCTGGGAGTGTCACGGCTTGCTCAAGCTCCTGACCCCCCCCGGGGCGTTTTTGGCCACAGTCTCCCCAAAACCCCTCTGGGCAGAGTCCTGGGCGCTTCAGAGAAACCTCTCACAAAGCAGCGGGGCTGGGAGAGGCAAAGCCAAGCCTCCAACTCCGGCCAGGGCTTCGCCTTTCTCGTGGTTTGGCCCCATTTTCTGCCCTCTGACTCCAAACCGCCCCGTTTAAAACTGCTGAGCAAAGGGAGGGGAGAAACGGCAACAAAGCGAAAAATAATAATAAAAAAAGAGGTGCCAAAGCCAAGTCTCACTTCCCAGGGTCTCCAAGGGCCGCCTGGGGGATGGAGGGGGGTCTCCCAGAGTCTCCAAGGGCCTCCTGGGGGACGGAGGTGGGACCCCCAGGGCTCAGGACCCCCCCGTTCTCTCTCCCCCCGCAGGTACGAGGATGAGATCAACAAGCGCACGGCGGCCGAGAACGAGTTTGTGGTGCTCAAGAAGGTGAAGTCACCCCAGGGATAAGCTGGGAGAGGGCAAAACCAGGGGGAGAAGGGGCCAGGAGAGGTGTGGGGAGTCCTGGCACCACGGCACTGCCCGAGGCCTCGCCGGGCAGCCCCAAAAACGGGGCAACTCCACGAATTGGGAGAACCTCGGGGAGGTTTTTAAGCACATGAAACACAAAGCCCGGGCTGGAAATAGTGAGGTTTCCTCCAGATCTCACAGCAAACCCGGGCTTTGCCCCGGTCCCTGTTCCTTTCACCTCTTCTCACGAGTTCCTGGTGCCTCTGCAGGACGTGGATTGTCTGTACCTGACCAAGGAGGAGCTGGAGGTGAGGGTGGGGCTCCTGCGGCAGCAGCTGGAGTTCCTCAAGTGCATCTACGCCGAGGTGAGAGCTCCGGGCTCCCCGTCTGCTCCCCGACCCCAAAACCAGGGGCAGGCAGAGGTGGCCTTGCTGCAAACCCCGCGATTGCAGCCCAAAAATCTCTGTGGTGTTTGGTAACAGAATTATCACACACCTGGGGAAGGCAAAAGGGGGGTCTTGGTTGTCTCTTGCATTGTTGCCTCCCAAATTCTGATCCAAACCATCCCTGGGATGGTCAAATATTTTTAGAACTTTTTTTCACTTTTAGCACTTTTTTTCTTTTTACTTTTGAAATATTCTTTTACTTTTTTTTTTTTTTTTTACTTTTTAACACTTTTTTACATCGCATTTGACACTTAACATCTTTTGACTTTTTTAGCTTTTATTTTTTTACATCAGAATATTTTGATGGCAGCAACGCTTCCTATTTATATCAGAATTTATATATATAATATAGATATATTATAAATATATATTATAAATATATATTATATATTATATGTTATATAATACATTATAATATATATTTACATATTATATAATACATATTATAAATACTGCTATAAATATAAATATAGATTTCTATATTATATAAATATAATATATAATTAAATGTATAATATATAATATAGAAGATATTATATTATATATTATATAATTAAATATATAATATATAATATATATGATATGATATAATATATTATATATTATATCATATATAATCAATTATATATTATATATATGTTATATATTATGTAATATATATTATATATTATATATTTATATAATATTTAAATATATATTTATATTTTTATCAGAATATTTTGGTGAAAGCAACACTTCTGCCTAAAACATCACAAGCTTTTTAAGAAAACACACGGGGGGCGCTTTGAATTGACCCCTTTTTGAGCTGAAACCCTCCTGGGGGGGCTCAGTGGGGCCCAAAGAACTCACCCTCAAGGCTTTCACAGCCAGAAAAACTCTGGCAAAGAGGGAATTGCCTCCCCAAATCCCAAACTGTGCCACCAAAACAGGTCCCAGCTTCCAGCTCTCGCTGGAGACCCATCACCTGAGTGGAGAATCCCGTCCTGCACTTGGGGGTTTTGGAGGGAGAAGCTCCCCTGGTGCTCCCCCCTCTCCCAACCACCCCCGGGCTGGGCTGGGGTGGGTCAGGGATGGTCCTGACGTGCCCTGGGTGGGTCAGGGGTGGTCCTGACGCTCCCTGGGTGGGTCAGGGATGGTCCTGACGTGCTCTGGGTAGGTCAGGGGTGGTCCTGACACCCCCAGGGTGGGTTGGGGTGGTCCAGATGTGCCCTGGGTGGGTCAGGGGTGGTCCTGATGCTCCTTGGGTGGGTCAGGGGTGGTCCTGATGTGCCCTGGATGGGTCAGGAGTGGTCCTGAGGTGCCCTGGATGGGTCAGGGATGGTCCTGATGTGCCCTGGATGGGCCAGGAATGGTCCTAACACTCCCTGGATGGGCCAGGAATGGTCCAGATGTGCCCTGGATGGGTCAGGGATGGTCCTGATGTGCCCTGGATGGGCCAGGAATGGTCCTAACGCTCCCTGGGTGGGTCAGGGATGGTCCAGATGTGCCCTGGGTGGGTCAGGGGTGGTCCTGATGTGCCCTGGATGGGTCAGGGATGGTCCAGATGTGCCCTGGATGGGTCAGGGGTGGTCCTGATGTGCCCTGGGTGGGCCAGGGATGGTCCTAACGCTCCCTGGATGGGCCAGGGATGGTCCTGATGTGCCCTGGGTGGGTCAGGGGTGGTCCTGACGCTCCCTGGGTCCCGCAGGAGAGAGCCCAGCTGGACTGCCAGCTCTGTGACACCTCGGTCATCGTGCAAATGGACAACAGCCGCGACCTGGACATGGAGGGCATCATCAAGAGCGTGGAGTGCTGCTACGAGGAGATCGCCCAGAAAAGCAAGGCTGAGGTGGAGGCTTTCTACCAGACCAGGGTGAGTGAAATCCCTCCAGACACCGTTCCTGGGACCTCCCTCTGTCCTCCACCCACCCCACGCTGCCCGGGTGGGTTCAGGGCCGCAGGGTCACACCCTGGAGGTGGAAGGGACCCCTCGGGGTCACACCTTTGGGGGCGGAAGGGGCCCCTCGGGGTCACCTCGTGAGAGAAATTCCCCCCTCGAATTTCTCCCTTGAAACAAAAAGGAAGGAATTTATTCAGTGCGCCGGGTCCAGTCTCACACCGAGTTCTTTGGGGAGAAAAGACCCCTTGGGTTTAAATTTCGTGCATTTTATAGTTTTACAAAGTCCCACCTTTTTTCAGATAAGTTTAATATATTCACTTTTGCCTAAAAAGGTTTCTTTTCTCTGTAAAGGGGCTTTCCCTTCTTTCTAATTGGCCACTCTGTCAAAAGTGGTGGGTGTTCCTTTGTTCTTAGCCCAAAGAGAGAAAAGAAACCCCCCTGTGTACAAAACTCTCACATGACCCTGAAAGATTTTAATTTTTAGGAATTTTTATATTTCCCTTAACTGGCCGAAAAAGACCCTGACACCCAAGTCCACTCTGAGACTTGGATATCTCACAACTTTGCCACATGCCTATAAAACCATATTTTCATTTCTCATAACCTGAACAAAGTCTGACCAGAAAAAAA